CAAAAGAACATCAGCCAGCAAACAGTAGGTTCTTATAAAGCAACAACTGCTATCAAATATCAATCTGAGTGCTTTGTGACCCAAAATGTTTACTGTGCCCCGTTTCTGGACAAGGTATCCCCTTAGTCACCTATAATAGCTACTGGAGGACATTTTGCAGGAATGAATAGAAAAGGTTTGGCATCAAAAACTGTAGAGTAGAAACAGATACCACCTCCTTTGTCTCAGTGATGGATAAAATCCCAAGGCAGAGATCCAGGGCTCATGGCTGTCTGTAGGAATGGTCAAAAAAGTCAAGATGGCAGCCATGCATTTGAAATTATATTGTTCTTTTAAAAGAGGCAAGATTTTGATCCTATGGTTACAATTACCATCTTGACTTTTTAAAACCCCTTTACTCCCCCCCCCCCGCCACCAATCATCCTTGCCAAGACCTCACATGTCTGAACAAGGAAAAGGCAGACGTATGTTACAGCCAGCCAGGCAAGGGAAGGAATCAGGTGGAGGGAATCAGCACAGAACAAACTGGCCTGGCCTAACAGTGGCAAAGTGTTATTTAGAATTGATCTGGCATGTTTGATTTTACCACACCTTTCAGTACGTAATATTTTGTATGTTCAAAACACAACTTATTAGAGACAGGGATGTCCATTATCACCGTTGTTGTTTGTTTTAACACTGGAAATATTGTTGATTAAAATTCGAGAGTCGCAGGAAATAAAAGGAATAGAAGTTAACAAAAAAGAATATAAGTTAAGAGCTTTTGCGGACGACTTGGTGGTTACTTTGTCGCAACCTAACTACTTTGTAGTAAAGTTATTGCAGTTGATTTATCATTATGGTTCGGTTTCGGGTTTTAAGATTAATGTTAATAAGACTAAAATCCTACCTAAAAATATGACTATTCAGGAGAAGCAGATTTTGGCTAACCTGACGGGTTTTGAAATTGTTAATAAGGTAAAATATTTGGGGGTGATGTTATCTGTTTCTAATGCAAAATTGTTTAAAAATAATTATGAAAGGTTGTGGGTCAGTGTACAGAAAGACTTGAGGAATTGGGAGAAGTTGCAATTATCTCTCATGGGAAGAATTGCAGTGATAAAAATGAATATTCTACCCAGGTTTCTTTTTTTGTTTCAAATGTTACCGATTTTGAAAAATGAGATTAACTTAAGTGAATGGCAAAAAGGTATCAATAAATTCATTTGGGCAGGGAAAAAGCCAAGGGTTAAGTTTAAAATCATGCAAGACTTCCGTGAGAGAGGTGGACTCAAGGTACCGAATTTGAAATTATACTATGATGCGGTGGTTTTAACATCAATCAGTGATTGGGTAAATTTAACAAACCTTGAGATACTCCATTTGGAGGGATGGGACTTACTTTTTGGCTGGCATGCCTATTTAATATTTAATAAAAAAGTGGATCGGGATTTTAAATCTCATATCATAAGAATTTCTTTACTTAGGGTTTGGAGAAAATATTATAAAAGTGATTTTAAAGTACCACTATGGGCTATACCTTGGCATGCGATAGAAGGAATAAAAAGAGGGGTTAAAATGGACATGGTGTCTTATACACAGTTACTTAGATGGGATGGACAAAATTGGCAGTTAAAACTATTGGAAGAATTAGTACATGAAAACATTACTTATTCTTGGTTTCAATATAGGCAATTAGTAGATAGATGGAAGATGGATCGTAAGGTGGGTTTTCTCAGAGAAGATGAAAATCTTATTAAGCAAGTGAAGGATCAAAGACTAACTTATATTAAGAGAATTTATGGGGTTCTAGTGGAATTGGATTCAGAAACAGAATTAATCAAAGATTGTATGATAAGATGGGCGCAAAATTTTGGTGAACCAGTCCTACTGGATACCTGGGAAACCATTTGGGTGAGAAATGTTAAATTTACACAAGCACAGAATTTAAGGGAGAATTTTTATAAAATGTTTTATAGATGGCACCTTGACCCACAAAAAATGTCTTTTATGTACCCTGACCTACAGCCTAAATGTTGGAGATGTGGTTGTTTGGATGCCACCTACTATCACATTTGGTGGTCATGTAGAAATATAAAAGCTTTTTGGATTAAGATATGGTGGAATATTCAGAGAACTTTTAGGAGGAGGGTAAAATTTACTCCACAATTATTTTTGTTAGGTATAGTTATTGATTGTGGCACAAAGGAGGTTATATTGATGTTAAACTTGATTACAGCTGCAAGGCTGTTAGTAGGACAATACTGGAAGAAGGAATCTTTGCCTACTCTGCAGGAATGGTTTCTTAAAGTGTCTTATTTGGTGGAAATGGCAAAGATTTCGGCTTTTTTAAAAGAACAATCGCAAGAGAAATTTTTTGCTGTTTGGGATAAATGGATAAAGTTTATACAATTTAAATTGGATATAAAAATATTATTTAGCTTTTTTATAACTTTTATTTTTATATACATACATATATCTTAGTTATACTCTCTTTTTTCATATAACTTTTTTATTTTTTTTAATTAAGCCTATATTCTGCTCTGGGAAGCTCCAGGGGGGGGAGGGAGTGGGTGTTTTGGGGGGGGGGTAGGGAAAGGGTTGTTTTGTTTTGTTTCTTGTCTATGTTGTTGTTGTATTGTTATTCTTCTGTTTTTTTGTTAAAATTTATAAAAATTTTCAATTAAAAAAAAACAAAACACAACTTATTAGAGTGGGGTTGAGCAAGAGCTTGGCTTGCACCCCAAACCCATAGATTCAGGGTATCATATCTCTGTCCAAAAATTTGTTAATTTCATAAACTGTAATTCACTGTAGTGTGTGTGTGTGTGTGTGTGTGTGTGTGTGTGTGCCACACAAAATAGTTATACATAATTGTGAGCCTTAATTTTTTTTATTCTGTCCTTCCTGTCATTTCTTTCACAAATCTGATGAGTATACAATAAATCTGCAGTGTAAATCTGAAAGATAAGGAAGGGCCCAAAAGTTCTTACGTGAACATCATGGTTGGGTTACTCTTTGTTTTTAAAGCACAGGTTTCTTTCTTTCTTTTTCTTTTTTTTGAGGAAATTTTATTGGTTTTTTTAATTCGTATAACAAAGTATTCAGGACACACCGTGGTGCTAGGGTAATCAAACATCCTAGAACAAAACATATATACATAGCACAATCAATACATCAAGTATTCCCTCTCTTTTTCCCTCCAGTAGCATAGTGTATTTAAAATATCCAATTCTAGCTTAAATTTATTCAACCTGAACCTAAGTACAGGTTTCTTGATGCCGATCAGAACTCTAACCATGGGAATAGCACCAACTGTGTCAGTTTAACTCTCTCTCCTAACCTGATATGTTGAGACTGCATGGCCCTATCATTAGGCTGCAGGAGACTGTTTTTAGCATCAAATATGGGAATGATAGCAAACTGTCAACCATATAGTTAATGTTGTTATTGTTGCTACTATTGCATTGTAGGTGTTCTGTCCTTGGATCATTTTGCCATCCTTCACACACACACCCCAGGACAACTTAAAGGTACTGGCAGCACCAAAGAAGTCCAAATAAGAGCAAAAATAGGAAAGGATCTGAAATGGTTTGCATAATTTGCTATGGTTTATACAGTGTTTCCCAAACTTGACAATTTTAAGGCATGAGGACTTCAATTCCCAGAATTCCACAGCCAGCAACGCTGGCTGTGGAATTCTGGGAGTTGAAGTCCACACGCCTTAAAATTGTCAAGTTTGGGAAACACTGGTTTATACAATAATAGCAGTTCACCCTTAAAGTATCTCAGATTTTTTTTATTTTATTTTATTTTATTTTTGCAGCAAGAAATTACCACAATTAGTCCCTTGCAAGCTATCGTATCTCTCTGCAGATCAAGCCATTATATGGAGGACCTGATTGAATTCATTCTTTTACTCTATGCTGGCAACCCAGAAGCAAAGATTTGTGAGGGTCTTGAGAGCAGCAGGGGGAAATGTGGGTTAACCTTTATGCAGGGGATAAGATTTTTGTGCTTTTATGATCTGCCAGGGTTCCTGAATTCAATGAGAAACCTCTGGCAGTTTGCCAGAAAAATATTGCCTAGAAAAAGATGTACCATGTTGTGCTTCAATCAGCTCTGTAGGTGGTCAAGGCACAAGACTCAGGGTAAAGAAAAAAAGAATGTAATAAAGAAAGACACACACTCTCTTTGTGTTTCTCTCTCTCTCTCAAAAAAAAGCAGGGGAATGTTAACTGGAATGATGCTGTTGCATTCCTTAGCAGGAGGAATGCCCTTCTAGTCTCCTTGCATTCCAGAACTGTGTTTAGAAGAAGCTGGTACCTATGGTAACGGCTGAAAAAGAATATTACAGGCAAATTTTCTGAATCACAAGCTTTCTGCTCTATGTGCTTATTATGCACTTCCAGACCCCATTAAACAGAACCATTTAAAAGTCAGCAAGAAGTGCAAGCAAGACATTTAGTAACAGATAAAACAGTTTTGGAGAAATAAGGTATAGAATAAACAACCAGACACACCAGACACGTTTGAATCTATTTTTGTCAAATCTTTCATCCAAAATACAGCAACAATATAAATAACAAACTAGATATTCTGAGTATGAATTGCAAACTAATCTATGTGTCTCCATTCACTTCCAGGTGAGGAAAGCTTTCAATATGTAGATATGGTTTAAATATCATGAATGAAGGCGAATATACGTGTCCCAGGATAATCTTGCAGGAACCAATCTGGGTCATTCACCGGGACCAGAGTTTTTGTCTCCCAAGCTTTCAGACTCGTGCTGAAGCCCATCCTTAGGGAACTTCTCTGTGTTATGCACAAATATCGTGCACAGCTTTAGAATTTGCAGAGAGTTTGACTCTACTTTCAAAAAATGTTCATTAACAAAGCCCTGGTAGGTCATGCAGCAAACGTGTGGATAGAGGTGAACAAACCATTTAAATCTGCACTGCCCAGATTTCTGTTAGTTGCAGTGCAAGCCCATTTATCTAGATTTCTCTTTGTTTGAACAGATTTCAAGTCTCCTGATTTATATGGCCACAAACCTATGTGATAAATTCTAAGTGCCTTCCGAAAATGGTAAGTATTCCAAGGTACCAAAAGCAGAAGTGGCAATACATGATAGCAGTGTTCCACTATTTGAGACAGTGCGCAAAAAGGGGGGGTAGCCTATTCTCCAAAGTACCTGAATGCAAGTCTAAAAGCAATGGATAGAAAGTAAGCAAGGAGAAAACCAACCTAGAACTAAGGAAAAATTTCCTGACAATGAGAACAGCTTGCCTCCAGATGTTGTGATTGCTCCATCACTGGAGATTTTGAAGAAGAAATTGGGTAGCCATTTGTCTGAAATGGTATAGGATTTCCTGCTTGAGCAGGGGGTTGGACTAAAAGACTTCCAAAGTCCCTTCCAACTCTGTTATTCTGTTAAAACATCTTTAGCCTGGTACCATCAAGCCAGCATAGCCAAAGAAATGAAGAATCCATATTTGGAGAATGTCTGGTTGGAGACACCTAGGGCTTTCATATCAGGTCTGCAAATGTCAGAATAGCCACTAAATGGCAGCTATTAACTTCCTGTATCTCTTTGCTGTCACCTACAGATCTTCCAACATTTATAGTTCAGATGGTGTAGCCTTAGATAAGTTCACATATTACGTTAAGAGATAATATGATTTATCTGGTTTTACTTTAGTGTGATAGGGTGAGCCAGTCACTTTAATTTATGAACCAGAGTTTCTGGCCTATTATTACATATGAATGAGACTACAAATGCCTTTTTTTTAAAAAATTAAAATATGGCTAAAACAAACCACAGTGCCTGTTTGTATACTCTTGACTAAAGTTAGAGTTTTACCATATACAATAAAATCAGAAAGACAGTTGAGAAATAGAATAAGAAGCAGACTGATTAGATTTTTTTTTCAGAATCTTAATAGCAAAGAGTGAGAAAATAGCAATCAATCTGCAGTTCTCTGCAGGAAAAGGAAATGAATATTATTGTAATCAAGATAATTTTTTTCTAATACAGAAAAAATAAGGTCAATTAATTCTAAATCTTGGCTTAACTTCTTACAAAACAACACATGTAATCTACATTTGTCTCTGAAGAATGGCATAGGATCTTGTATCCTACATGAATAAGCTGTGCTTTGTGTTATCATCTTCAAATTTTAATTCTTGAAGGAAATGCTTACATAGTCATAAAAGCAAAATATTATCCAAGGATTGAACTAACCAAGTTCAAAGTCATAATTGTTGGAAATCTTTACTTCCAGTAACAGTAGATTCTGCCACAAGAGTAAATATCTTAAGCATTCATAAAGGACGTCCCTTTAAGATCCCTTTAAGAACCTCTTTGAAGGATGCCATTGTTGATACTGACTGATAGAATATTTTGTTCTGGAGAAATGAAGAGATGAGTAAAATATAACATCTGTTTCTATAAATAACTTTCTTCTTCAATGAAAATTATTATTTTAATTTTTTTTGGGGGGGGGATCTTGGTTTCTTGCTTTTTCTGTTATGAGAAAGCACTGTAATGTATTGATCATACTGGAATATATTTGTGATATATTTTCCCTTGCTCCTGGAGCTACAAGTGGAGGTTAATGGAGTAGCATATAGTTCTGAGCATAGCTGGCTCAGGAATTCTGGGAGTTGAAGTCCACGAGTCATAAAAGAGCCAAGGTTGACTACCCCTGTTCTACAACCTTGTTTGGTCCATTAGGTAATTTGTATAAGAGCCAAGCCCTTTGAAAAGAACATAGTAAATCTCTGATATTTAGGAGTGGCACATTTTTTAGAGCTGATTAAAGACATTCAACTCATTAAGCATATGAGTATTATTTCAGGGAACTAATAAACTATATATCAACTCATGTGCAAGAAACTAGCTAATTGGGCTTTCTTTGATAAACAAGCAGGTTTGCAATGGGAAAAGGCCCAGGTTCTCTGCCTCTATTTTTTCCTTTGCCCCCAACCTCGATCTGAAATACCCTTTAAGGGATCAGATAAGCTTTCCCTTACTTTTTCAGCTCCCTCCAATGTTTAGGCTCACTACAGGCCTGAGGGAAGGCATGTACAAATTACTTTAGATTCCTTTAGGCAAGTCCAGCCAGGAGGGATTGTCCTTTCTAAAACATAATACTGTCAAGACAGTACTTTGGAAAAGAAATCCAGGACACAGGTCATCATAACAAATAGAAGAATGCAGTATAACTTCCTCTATGTTGAAGTGAAATTGTATATATTACAACAAAATAGACCATCTGAATCCCCTTTCTGACATCCTTGAAGGCACCTCTGAACATGATTGTGTAAAACTGACAGCAGAATTTCTTTTCATTTTGATCAGGAAACAGGTGAAAAGTGTAAAATAAGCCTGGTTTGTATCAGATAGTAAAGACACCTTCAAAATTATTTCCCTGCACTTGAACTCTGTCCTCAGCCTCTACATCAGTGGTTCTCAATCTGTGGGACAGGACCCCATTTGGGGTCGAACAACCATTTTATGGGGGTCGCCAAACAACGCAGTCTGCCATTTTTTTCCCCTTTTCCTTAGCTGTGCTACTCCCTTTTATTCTATTGGCTTTTGAAAGCCAATATAATAGACTCTCTTGAATAGAGTCTAATTCTATTGGCTTTCAAAAGCCAATAGGAATTGTCCAGGCTGTCTCTGCCCTGCTGAGCTCGCCAAAAGTCCCATTCTGCAAACGGTGCAGCAAGTTGTCCGCAGCGAAGGCGAGCTGTCTGGAAGTTTCCACCCCTCCCTGCTGAGCAACTACTAAAAATGTAAGGCCAGGGGTGGGAGGTGGGAGGCCGGCGGGCACAGGGAGGGTTGCTGGCACGCGTGGGGCCCGGCGGGTGTCTTACTTCCCTTGGGCTGGGTCAGCTGGTGGCCCAGCCGGTGGTCGGCCTGCTCTGTCTCTCCCGCTTGCCAGCTACGCCTTGGCCGGTGCAGGGGGCGGCATCACGCATGTGCGGCGCTCCCGGGCAGAGAAAGTCCTCGAGTTACAACCAGTTGGGTAGTCCTCAACTTATGACCAGTTGGGGGTCGCAGCATTAAAAAGGTTGAGAACCACTGCTCTACATAGATGGTAAGTGTGTCTCCTGGCCATCAAAAAGTAGTCCACCCTTCATGTAAATGATGTGGTGGAAGAAATGGGTAAAGTAAGTGCTGGAGAATAAAACACAGTCCAAGAGACAATTTGTAGAGACAGCATTATGGTAAAACTGAACAATCATTAGAGGAGAGCCATAGAGACAGGACTTTAAATGTTCTCAGTGTTTCAATTTGCTCCTGTTTGATTCAAGGTTATTTCCCCAAAGCTCCCTGTGGAGATCAACTCTGAAAGATGGAGAAAACCACATCCGATTTTGTCTAATTTCCAGTTCTCCAAGTTCCAGAATTGCCAAATTTAACTCATGCCCCAGAGATTTTGCCATAACCTTTTCTATGTCCCCAGATTCTTCCAAATTCTGCTCCACTGATGGGTTGTAATAACTTAAAAAAGTGGAAAATTTACATACATATCTTCTGCTTTTTTATAATGTAGCCTGTCTACAGATTGGGAAGTCAAAAACATCCTGGGAGAAGAAAACATCCTGGCAAATCATTTCCACACTGAGGCCAAGAATATGTCATTGACGTTATTGGGAGTTGCATTCAGCTTGAAGGAAACTTACGTGAGTTAAAGTCTCTAGCATGTTACATTTTACTATAAAGACGCCTTCATCTCTGCACAGTGGAGCCTTCTGCCAGTTCCAGACATCAGCATTACATCATACTGGATTTGCTGAAAGATTGGGCAGATACGTGCTGTGAAAATTCGTATAACTACACAATATTTAGTGTGCCATTTGTTTAGTTAGACTATTCTTTTGTTTGCCTCCTCCATTGCTCAAGAAAGATATTAAAGTGCCAGAGAGAGAAAGAAGATAAGGCTACACAGATTTCCTGGCTGGGGCGTAAGACGACTGGAAAAGGAGTTTTTGTTCAGCTGTGCGTGTTAGCATCTCCTTTTCCACCATTTCCTGAAAACAAGGCCAGGGGAAAGAAAAAAAATCACACAGACACACACCATTTTTCCATTTGCAGAGTGAACAGGGGGAAGTAATAGGCTTGTGGGAGGGAGGGGGAGGCATCAGATATCTGCTTAGTCTTCAGAGAAAGGGAAAATGCTTGGGCGCCTGATCTACCATAAATTGCATCTGGTGGTTGGAGCTAGAGCAAGTTATTAAAGTGACTGCATTAAAGTCATAATTCAGCAGGTCAGCAGTGAGCCGATTCTGCAGTCTCTCCTCCATCATCCCTCCCAAACACATTTTCTGAGAGAGCTAAACTCCAGTGGCCTGAATCAGCTCTTACAGCAGTGCTTAATGACTTTTCTCCCCCTTAAGGGAACTGAAAGCGGGAGGGGAGGGGAGCAAGCCGGTCTGCAGATGGCATCATTTACACTCATAAAAGGATGGTGCTGTCTGTGTAAGATGAGCTGGGAGGAGAAGGAATTCCCCTCTCCATATTTCGTCCCCAACGTGGCCAGAAGAAGAAAATGCATTCAAGGCCCCCTATTTCAAAATAAATTCAATTTGTCTTGACTAAGGATGAGAAAGAAGACACAATGTGTTGCTGAGTGGCTGCTGAGGTGGCGGGGAGAAATAACAGCAGTTATTGTTATTTGGATTATCAGAATCTGTTTGATGACAGATTTTTACTGCAGAGCTTTGTATAGATGCCTGATGCTATGGCTTAAAAAAAAACTTGGCTGAAACTGTCAAAATTTACAGGGAATCCAGGCAGATATATTCAATTTCAGCCAAATTACTTATGTAATCTGGGGGTACGAAGGCTCGGCCAATTGGAAAGCTGACAGTCCAGATTCAAGACCAGAACACAGTGCAATGGGGTGAGTTCCTGTTACCTGCCCCAGCTCCTGCCCACCTAGCATTTCGAAAGAAGGCAAATGCATGTAGATTAATAGGTACCACTTTGGTGAGAAGGTAACAGCGTTCTATGCATATTGGCGCATAGCTATGCTGGTCACATGACCACAGAAAATATCTTCAGACAATGCTGGCTCCCTCAGCCAAGAAATGGACATGGGCACCGTGCCCTAGAGTTTGACAGAATTGGACAGGGAAACCTTTACCTTTTTACTGGTACAACCAGCAATGTACTGAGATTTTCTTCTGATACTGAATCCACTACCTGTACAATCAGCAGGACTCAGATCTGTTTAAAAGAGTTATTGTGGATCTAATCTATATTAGAAAACCGAGGATACTTTCAGGATGAAGATTTTTTTCAAATGAGGATGCCCCAACAAGCAAGCTGCTTCAGAATATACCAGATCTGCACACAAACAATGTAAAGCTGCCTTATGTAAAGTCAAACCATGACTCCATCTTGTTCCATTTGGGCATTACCGTGACTTGTAGCAGCTCCAGAGCTTTCGATAGAAGATTCTTAGAAGAATCCTCTATCTAAGATTCTTTCAAATAAGATAAAGAATTGAACATGAGAGTTTTGTGTGCAGTTCTAGGATCAAGGTAATGACTTATCTTGTTATAATTCCTTTCCATCTACATTAATTCCTACATTAATCCCAGGTACCTCAGTATTCTACAGTTCTGTGAGACTTGGGGAAACTGAGCTGATTAAACCTGAGAAGATAGTTTTTCAGCATTTCCTATGACCTGGAAAGATGAGGGAATTGTCTCTATGACAGAGACACCTAATTCATCCCATTTCTTGGACTTACACCCTCCTCTCTTCTAATCAAAGTGTCATGATCTCCCATCCTCCTCAGTTACTCAGGGAAGTGACAACTTTGTCATTCTCTGAACACAAAGGTTAACTGAGCTTCCTCCACCCATCCACATTCAACCTGTTCTACTCTACTGAGGAAAAAAACAAGAAGCAAAAAAAAAAAAAAACCCCACCCCAGCAAGCACAGGATGAAGGAAGGGCAGGGCACTAACTAGCTGCCATTTTTGACATTGTCCCTTTGGCCCATTAAAGAGATGACTAGATGATTCCCTGGGGGAAGATGGCATGCAGCAATAAGGACATTCACAGGTGGCACAAAACTACTGCAGAAGGCCAGAGAAGTCTGAGCTAGTAACTATAGAAGTCTCTTGAGCCCTACAGACCTTCTGTCGATTTCCCACTGCAAGCTGAGTGCTGCAAGAGAAGTGCTGGTTGCATAGTCCAAACAAGGGATTATCGTTCACACAAAACTCCCTGCAATAGTATTTTCCCCCCAGGCATATCTTCCTTTTTAAATTGCTTCTGCAAAGCTGTTTGCTAGAGAACTATAAATGCCGCATTATGGTACTCTGCTATCTGGAAACAACCTGAGTTACAAAATGTTCAGTAAAATTTCCAGAAAGGAGTGTGAGCTGGCCATAAATAACAGACACAACAACAAAATCTGAGTCCTGCCTGTACAATCAACAGGAATCAGATCTGTCTGTCCCGGGATTTTGGTTTGCTAATGGAATCAAAGGTCTACCCATGTTGCTTACAAAAAATAACTCTTTGCATTGTCAGTTTATGATCCAATCTGACAAGAAAAACAAGAAAGGGTAAAGAATGCAGGAGAAAAATATAGAGCAAGAATAATGACAAAAAAGGCAATTATGTGCAGCTACTTAGAATACTTGTCTAAGGGTTTATGATCAGAATTAATTCCAGACTTACTCTGGGTATGTTTGCAACTAAGATCCAGTATCCATGCTAGTCCATGGATAAGTAATTCTTAATACAGTCTTCCAAGTTTCCCCTCCCTCCCCCAAATTATTCAGGGTTATATTCCATACGTAATATTGTAGGTCACTTCAAATATGTGCATTACCAGTTAAAAATAGAATAAAAGGTTTAATCAGTATAAACGTTGTGCAATGTGGGGTTTTTAGAGATAACATAAATGGCATTTTCTTCTGGTCCACTCAAATTTAAAGATATGTAATACAAATACTGCCCCCCCCCCAAAAAAATCACCAGTTTTAAAAGAGTATTTGATTGCAAAGTGCCTGTTTAAATAAAGTGCCAGCCTTCTGCTCCTTTGGTTTTTTATTGAGTGTTGCAGAAATGCCTGCAGAGGGAGTGGGGAATCAGAAGCTGGAGAGTGACATGGGGGGGGGGGGAGGGAGACTCTTTTGACTTTACAAGATTCCAAGAAATGGACATGTAATTTCACAATTGCTGGGTTATCTCTCAGGCACTCTAAGGACAAATAGGATGTCTCACAACCTGCTGGGTTTGTAGTCCACCACTGAGAATGGAACTGTGCCTTTGAAATGGGGGGGGGGGGAAGGGGGCAGAAAACTACCACAGTGGAAACCTCCTGAAGAAAGACATGTAACATTTTTATATATGAGTTTAATTTGCTTCGTGTTTAGAAACACTCCAAAACTGTAAAGTGTTTGAGCCACATACAATACCTATTATACAGAGGGAACCACTTTTTAAAAATGGTGTACCTAGATAGTAATCATTCTTAGTTGCAGTTGTAGATGGTTGAATGTGGCAAATCCAGCTCTGTCTCTCTATGCAAAATGGCTGAGTCAATTAAAAGGCTGAAATCTTGTGCACATTCACTTGAGAAAAATCTTCAATGAAAACAAGTTGGCTTGATTTCCAAATAAAAAGACTTTGCTATTGAGTATATTCTTTACAGGCTGGAATGAATTTCAAAAGACAATGAACTACTGTCCTCAGAGATACAAATGTATTCTTTTCCAGTAAAATAAATTACCATAGTGCACTCTGTAGCAGACAATAAATCTAGTACTACAGTAATCTAAAGATCAAACCATAAATAAAGAGCAGGGGGATTTTCTTCTCCTCCTCCTAAGACAAGAGTAACCTTGAAGTGCAATCTAAAATTAAAGTGTGGTTGCGAAAGACAAGTCCTGCAGATCCATATTTCTTTGTGAATCACGGCTCTAACCCTTCCCTGCTATTTTCTCTCACCAACCTGAAGAGAGGAGAGGATCAAGAAAAAGAAGAAGAAAAATCCCTGCTGTGCTGCATACGTAATGCTCCTCTTTGCTTTTCTCCTTTTTCCTGAAACCTAACATCCCATTTCGCCTATAATCTAAGCATCTCTGAAGGACATTCAAACAGGCACAGACCTGGAGGACCACTAGATGGTGGCAAAGAAATATGGAACACTTTAACGCACTGATGCCATCTCTTGCATGTCCAGGTACTGGTAGTCCAGATGTGGTAAGTGTCAATCAAATGAGTTTAATAACCAGCCATGACAACACAAGGAACCTAAAAATACATCCTGCAGCTTTGAAGGCAGCAGCTTTTGCCTGCACTCTCCTCAGGCCTGTTTTGCTTGGTGCTCACCTAAGGCAGTTTGGCAAGCACTTAATTTCAAAAATATTGGACTCAGCAAATGAATTTCCATGATGGTAGGTGGGGAAATGAACCTACTTCTCACATGTAATAGATGCCTGTATTTGGAAGAGACTTTACACAAACAAGTTGGCCATCAAAAATTCCCTCATACAAATTTTGGTACCTAGTTTGTCTAGATGTTTTTCTGCACCTACTTTCCATATTTCATACCTAACCATCAATATTTTTACATTATTTGGTTGCTAATGTATAATGCCATATAATATCCAGCAAATCTGATAGCTATTTTCAGCAAAATCCTAGTTTGAGGAGACATAAAGCAAAGTATCCTTGGTGAGCAATGGGCTTGCTAAGGTTTCCATTTGGACCCAGAACATTAATGATCAGCTACTGACACTGAGCTAGGTTGGAATGGGATGGGATGGGATGGGATGGGATGGGATGGGATGAAACTAAATGGAGCCGCAGTAATGAACTTTGTAATGGTGCCATTGGGTTCCCCGGAAGTTGCCTAAAAATAACACATGAGGTGGGACTTGCCCCACCCTTCAGATGATATTTGCCCAGTCTTTTATGTTGCTCCAAATTCTACAGTACAGTCTCAGCATCCTACTCACTACAGAATTGCAGCACATGTTCCACATGCATGCTAAATTCACTAGATTGCTGATGGGCATCTCCAGCCTAGTCCACTTGATTTGATGGCATACAGTCAAATCACTCAATGTTCCCCTTGACTATCAAACGTTGGACAAAAGTCATTAGAATAGCAATGAATAACTCTAAATAACTCTTGAAGCTTCTGAAGTCAGACACTTAGCTCAAGGTATAACCGCTCAGTGTCCCTTCTCACTGTGAGATGAGCATCATATACATTTTATAAATGTCTTTGAATACCACATAAAAAAAATCTCTGGGATCTCTGCTTAAGATCAGCATCCTAAACAGTGTGTTGAACCCTTTAATCACATTTTTTCCAATGAATATCCCATCTTAAAATCTGACACTGTCTTTCTACTAACAGCTTTCCAAGTTTTCAGAAGGAAGTGTGTGTATTTGCAAAGGGTTAAACCCTACCCGCACCCCATTAGTGACTGAGGTTGGGTGGGTTACACAACTGCTTTTAATTAAATTGACTATGATAATGTGGAAAATTCCAGGGATGTTCAGAAAGATGTAAAGAAAGATTTATTGGACTTGCCATCAAACGTTACAGAAAGAAGTGCTCATGCTAAGGGTTTCATTCCCTAAAATACATTTTCTAAATTCTTCATTTTTCTATTTTTCATTCTCAACCATTCAACAGAAAACAAGCATTTGATACCCTCTAAGCATACTCTATGATCCCTGGGCAGTGGGAAGGGATAGAGATAGGAAGGAATACATCAGCAGATTTTCCTCTGTAGATTTTTCTTAATTCAACAAACTGAGTTTGCCCATGTGAAGTAGATTCCATCCTAGCCACAGCTTCTACCTGGTCTGGAAAATATGCTCTGTATTAGAATAGAGACTAACATCTTTGACTTGAAAGAACCCAATGAATCCTCAGGCAAAATAGGTTTTTTATTCTTATGTGATAGTTAATATACAATGGCATTTTGTACCCAGGAGCGCTTGCTTGATTGATACAATGTGGAGCACTCCTGGGGTTTGACAACTTATGAGAATTCACTGCCTATCCTGTAACACTGAATTCCCAAAAAAATCTAAGACCCACAGAAATGGAGGTGTTAGTTCTAACCCACCTTAAAAATCCATATCCAAAAAATAAATTTAATTTTTGCTTCAGTGCTTCTAATTCAAGAATGTGAGTGATGAAATTAGAAAGTGTGACCGTTCTGAATTCATTTCCTTTTTAATTTCTTGCTCCTCTTACCTTCCCCCTCCAGCCTGGCATATCAAGCAAGACCAGCGGCTCCTGGTTGTAGTAGTGGAGGCATTCATTCTCATTTGGCTTTGCTCCACAGAGAAGCATCCCAAAGGTCTTTGCTATAAACCTGCCCTCTAAATCTCCGTGATGGTGACGCTGTGATGGGAGTATTTTATGGCTCGCTTCTTGCATTACCACCTTTTAGTTTCTGTATTAATCACTCCAGAGGAAGACCATCCGTGTACTTTTTTTTTCTTTGTCAATAAAACTTGGTCAGCATTCATTCTCACATTCATTTCCTACTGAGATTTTCTTGGCTCATTTTTTTCAGTGAGTTTGTAGATAGTAATCCTAGCCAATTTTCAAACATATCCTTTGCTGTCTGGATTAGCAAAAAATAATATTGTTAACTATGGAAGAGCTCCCTAGTATTTATCCCAGTTACTCTTTATTAAATTCATATCTTGCTTTTCTTCTTCATCCTATTTTATTATCAAGTAAGTTAGATTAAGAGAAAAAGTGATTTGAGTATAGTAACCCATGTGGGATGTGACTTGGGGGGTCTACCTGATCCTAAACCAATATTTTGCAGTACACTGGATCTCATATCATTGCTACAACATGCAACTGAAGCCCTCCGCCTTTTGATGCATGGTCTCCATCTTGTCTTTCTGGACCACCCTGCAAACAGCCATGCCCCAAATAGGGTATTGATCTGTGATTGGACAATCACATTCTGATTGTTTACCATTAAATAAAAGAATATAGACCATGCACACATATTACTAACTCCTTTAAAATAGTTCAAGGACTTAGTATCGGTAGACCTTACTGCATGGTATGGCTTGTTTACTTTTAGCCCCTCCCCTTTCACATATTTTACCAAAACATGCATTGATTGCTTTTGCCTCCTTCCAAAGTTACAATACTTCTTATCATTAGTCTGGATGTTTTACTCCCTTCATTGTCTCAGCCCTCCCTTTTCATTACAGAGATACAGTAAAGCTAATTTATGGAGCAGTGCCTTCATTTGCTACTCCCCCCCCCTTACCACTTCTCTACTCCTCCAAAGTGTATATGTGCCTATAAGCATATTCCAGTGGTTCTCAATCTTTTCTTCACCATGGTTTAAATATTTTTTGTGGCCATGGACTATGGCCACGGACCCCCAAGATTTAACTCAAGATTTAAATTGTAACACTTATTCGCATCTTCATGGCCCCTTTTGATGATATTGTGCCCCCCCCAGGCCATATTCAGTTTACACTCCAATTGTTTCCAATTTTAATGCTCCTCTTCAGAGTAATCGGGCAGTAAGGGTCAAAATGTTATACACAGGCAAGCAGCGAGCCATCACAAATCTCAACTCAGGTAAAACGAAATTAAATGCATAAAGCCACCATAGTTCAAAACGGAAATCCTTTGTTGAACAGGGGGAGGGAGAGGAGAGAAAATGAACTGTACAGAAGTGTTAAACCTAAGGGAAAGCCTTCAGTCTTCGGGTGAAGCATCCTAAATAACGCTCTGTATCTGACTCAGGGAACTGAGCACAGAGAAAACACTGTCAATCTTGAACTGGCACCAGGCTTGAAATGTTTCTCTTCTGTTTGACATGTGCTTTCATTAGCATGTTTCTAGTCTGCTATGGCTGGCTAAGAGGACAGCCCTCCAACAAAGCGCTCTTTATCCTGCAGAAATTGCATTAAGGGGAGGGGCCTCTCTATCCTGTGGGGGGGGAGGAGGACAA